TGGGCGTATATTCATTCTTCTCTACTTTTCTTCTTATAATTTATGAATTACATTAGCTTTCCCTCATCTTGTAATTTCCCTTATAATTTAATATATACATGCTATATGCAAAATTTCGGTGTACATAACTTCCATATGTGCATAGAAGCAGAGGTTTTTTTAGGAATATTACTCGAAGGACGAGTCAAAGGCAGCTTGTGGACCAACAGATAAACTCACTACATCTTACAAAAACATACACTACATTTGTACACTTTCTGATATTTTTCACCTTCATTTTATAAAAATAATTTAGATACAATTATTAATTATAGTCTATAGCTGTTAACCAAGTTTTCAACCTATAATGTTTGAAAAGGAAGAACTAAATCAAAAAGTACATGCAAAATTCACACAAACTATTTTGCAATATAAAATGTTAGTCTTAGTTTTAAATATTAGCCTTAGTTTTAAATGTGTTGAATTTTAAGAAATTCATTGGCAAGAATTTAAACTTAAAACTTCACCCAAACTTTGGTCTTGATCTATTTTAAACTTAAAACTTCACTCAAACTTTGGTCATGATCTATTTTAGATTTAAAACTTCACCCAAACTTTGCTCATGATCTATTTACAATTTAATGTATTTTCATATTTTGTTTTCTTGGGTCTGGGTTCCTTGGTGTCGCAGCGGTAAGCTTGAGGTTTTATATCGCTAGAATTCGAGGCTCGATCCAGATGGCGATAAATAGCCCGTTGTGCAGCTTTGTGCAAAAGCAAATAAATAATCTTGAGACTAATGTTTTAACTAAAAATGAAGCATACTTAAACGAAATTATTTTTTGTATGGACAGATTATTAGCTGTTTGGTCTGTCAGTTTATTTAAGGCAGGTTAAAGAACTTGTTATTTCTAGGTTAGACTTACGTTTAACTAATACAGCACTAAAGAAGATTAATTCGAGATGACAGCAAGTTTCCATTAAGCTCTGATGAATATTAGTTTGGGTTGGCAGCAAGCCCCTATAATGTTCTGGCGAAGCTTGGTATGTTAGCATGTTTCCATATAGTTCTGATGAAAATTAGTTTCAGATAACAAAAAACCCCAAATAGCTCTGACGAAAGTGAGTTTCGGTTGACAGCAGATCTCATGTAATCTGACAATTATTAGTTTGAGGTGACAGCAAGCCTCCAGATAACTCTGGTGAAGATCACAACAAGTTCTCACGAAATGGATGATGAACTATTGTATATTATTAGCTTTCTCTGTTTAATGTAGATGGCGCTAACAAAGAACTGCAGTTGCTTGAGTTGTAGTGTGAGCACCGGAATGTAGCTTGAATTGTTCGTATTTGGCAAATGTTCTTGAATACGTAACATTCTCGTGTGTTTATTCAGGACGCCTTCAGACAAACAGTAAGAACCAAAAAAGAAAACACTGGTACTGTGTTTGCAGAAAAGTATGCAGCTTCTGTAAAAAAACAAAACAAGAGAAGGTCATTCATTTAGCACTGAAATGTTCCTTTGAAAATAGCTTTACTGTATCTTCTCTTCCAGCTTCGTCAATCTATTTTCGGTATTTTGAAGAAAACCAAAGCTTTGTTTTGTACATAGGTATACGTGACACAACAAACTTTATTTTGTACATAGGTATAAGAGACGCAAAAAAGTTAGCGAGGCTGTATGTAATATATTGTTGTTAGTAAATATCCAGATGATGTTAAGTGACCCAAGACGTAACTCTGCCTATTCAGAGTTAAATATCCAGATGATGTTAAGTGACCCAAGACGTAACTCTGCCTATTCAGTGTTAAATATCCA